TGTGTGTGTGTGTGTGTGTGTGTGTGTGTGTGTGTGTGAGTTTGTGTGGGTGTGGCTGCACTAAATCAATAAAAAGCCAAGTGATAATGGTCCAAATAATACAGCAAGCTGTGTGTCATAATTCCCAAACAAGTTAAACAGTACAAAACAACGAATCATGTATTAGCCTAAAGTAAAGAATGTGAACAGGTGGATTTACGTTGGGGTTGACTGGATTGGCAGTTTGTGCCAGATGGCAGAGTCGTCACAATAAATCCATCGGAAAGCTTTTAACTTTAATTGTGCCCAAAAGCAACTATAGATCAATGACAAAGCAAATACGTGTGATAACACTGGGAACTCAACACCTAGTATCTTTGAACAGTAAATGATGTTTTGTATAATTTACATGTATGCAAGTGGAATATTTACAAGATAACACAGATGTGAAAACAATTTGTAGAGATCTATTTTTGAATTGTTAGTTTCAGTTCAAAAGCCAAAGTATCTGATGAAGTCACGCAGCACAAAAAAAACATGACTCAACACTTTTTTATATTTGTTTGAACTCTTCTTAGATTATGTTTGATTACTTGTACTTGGACAATGAAACAAGTTGTTCTCTCTCAGTCTAAAAATATGTTTGTTGCCCATGTTATCTGGGTCTAAAGACTGAGCTATGTANACACAGTAACAGTTTACATAAATACAGTTCTCAACCCTCTTTCCTCTGCCTTCCTCAGGAGGCCTATGTGATGGCAGGTGTGGCCAGCCCCTACGTCTGCCGGCTGCTCGGGATTTGTCTGACCTCCACAGTGCAGCTGGTCACTCAGCTGATGCCGTACGGCTGCCTTCTCGACTATGTCAGGGAGAACAAGGACCGCATCGGCTCCCAGTTCCTCCTCAACTGGTGTGTCCAGATCGCCAAGGTGCGTTGATTTCCATGCACATACTTGCACTACTGCTTGTTTTAGTAGGAGGAAATGTGTATGTTGTAAGCCAAACAGCAGTGTCTGAATGTCGCTGTTGATTTCTCTATCGTCTTATTTTTCCTTTCAAATCTGATGTGGTATCAGTTTGTGTAATTGTGAAGACATGGATTTGTGGGTGATGGATCTGTGTGTGTGTTTGTGTGTGTGTGCGTGTGTGTGTGTGTGTAGGGGATGAGTTATTTAGAGGAGGTCCGGCTGGTTCACAGAGATTTGGCTGCCCGCAATGTTCTGGTCAAAAACCCGAATCATGTGAAGATCACTGATTTTGGTCTGGCCCGTCTGCTCGATATAGACGAGACTGAATATCACGCTGATGGAGGGAAGGTAAGAGGGAGCTGTGACTGTAGGAGCATCTGCGTTGGGAATGTTCACATTTATCATCATATTATTTTAACTGATGTTCTGTAACTGTGTTTCTAGGTGCCAATTAAATGGATGGCTTTGGAGTCTATTCTGCACAGAAAGTTCACTCATCAGAGTGACGTCTGGAGCTACGGTCAGTATCACTCATTGCTGGAAATGATATAAGACATAACATTAAAAAAAAACAAAAAAAAACGTAGAGGCTTTTTTTTAATGCCTAAAATGACAGCTGACAGCAGCAGAAAAGAGAGCAGATTTAAAATTTTGCAGTGGCATCCTGATTGGCTGAGAGACATCATGACTGATTGGATAACAGAAGAGTGAACACCCATAGTCAACTGATTAGAGGAAGCAGTGTGTAATAAAGAATTGTGCTAACTTTACTTCCATACAACTCTGCCTCTTGGTAACACGTCTGCTTTCAGCTGGCTACCTGAGGCTCGTGCTGCGTACAAATTAAAATCATGATGAAAAAAAAGAAAGTAATTTTCTCTCAATGAAAAACATTGTCTCCTGAACGCTCATGATAAACGGGCAAAAAATTAGTTAATAAGATGCTGCAGTGAAACCTAGTGTTCCTCAGGCTACTGTGTGTAGCCTGCTGAAACAATGAGACACTGTCATGGCTGCTGAAGGAAACAGAAAACAAATGTGGGAAAGCAGCTGTCGTTGAAGCAGCCCTCATCAAGTGTATCGATATTGGTATCGGAGCTGTCTGTTTCATTACTTTATATTTCTGTCTTAAATGTACAGATGTTATTAGATGGTAATCTGCATGACAAATAAAGAAAAAGAAAAAAAAAACGGTTATATTAACCATGTGCTTACAGTGATCAGTTTAACCCAGAAAGACGTGATCACCATAAGCGGTTTGCACTTTATTTATATTTGTAAAAACTCACTTTCTTTGATAAGTAATATTTGGGACAAAGTTTTAGTAGCAGATACTTAATTTTGGAACGATAGCAGTTCATAGTATTAATTGCAATGCTTTAGAAAAGTTGTTGATGTGCTTGTATTTACATACTAATGCATTATATTCAGGTGGTTAAATGTAACTGGCAGTATGAGAGTTTAGTTTACTTTATTGTCCCCAAGGGGAAATTCTTTTCCCAGCACTGTATCTTATCAGACAACGGCAAACACACAGCACACAGTAACAACATGGACGACATCATATGCTATATATGTACAATGTGGCTGCAGGGATCAGGCTCTTCCCAAAGTGAGCCCTTCTGCACCCTGCGCTCAGAGGGCAGTGGGGTGAGGTTGTGATTGAGTGGATGTGTGATGTCCTGTTCTTGTTGACTGTCATTTTGGTAGGTGTTTTATTCTAGTCACAGTGCTGTTGTAATGGTACAATTCCTTCCCAGGTGTGACGGTCTGGGAGCTGATGACGTTTGGTGCTAAACCCTACGACATGATCCCAGCCAGAGAAATCCCAGATGTTTTAGAAGGAGGAGAGCGACTTCCCCAGCCGCTCATCTGCACCATCGACGTCTACATGATTATGGTCAAATGTCAGTAGTTAACTTTATGTTATGTTTGTGTCTCAAGGTTGTTTTTTTGCAGTTTTCTTTTTATTTTCAGAGGTATTGCATACAATCAAGACACTGCCAATGTTTACAAGTAATCCAAGAAAATAAAAACAGTGTAGTCTTGGCAGTACAGATACAATTTTAAGCTATCATAACCTCAATACCCCTCTTTTCTGTCTTTTCCCCCCTTCTTTTTAAGATTCTGTGTCTCAAAGTTTAATATGTGTTTGTTACAACATTATGTTTTGGGTAGTTGTCATTGTCCCAAACAGAGTTGCATGTTGGTAGTTATCTTTGCAGATGATTAATTGACATCTTGATTTTTATGTTTGTGTTGCAGGTTGGATGATTGACCCAGACAGCAGGCCGAGGTTCAGAGATCTGGTGAATGATTTTAGCACGATGGCCAGAGATCCACCTCGCTATGTAGTCATTCAGGTGTGTGAACGTTTTTCATGTCACCAATGTTTTACTTTTTGTGACTGTGCTCACAGTGTCCTTATCACGTAATGCTCGTGCTCATCATGTCGCATACATAGTAGTTATTAGTCTATAACTGCTGTTGTTTTTTTATTTCAGTTTATCTCTCAGTGCATTCCTAGTGCAAACATTACTGTAAATATGCCAGCATGGTGTTCAAGTGTTGTTCTTTCTCTTTCTCTGTCTCGCAGAACGACGAGCAGATGAGCATGTCCAGCCCAGTGGACAGCCAGTTCTTCCGAATGCTTCTGGAGGAGGAAGGAAACAACATGAGGGAGCTGCTGGATGCTGAGGAGTATCTGGTGCCTCAGCCAAACCTCTTCCCCAGGACTCAGGGAGACGGGGCCCAAGCCAACGGGCCATCCAGACACCAGTCATACAGGGTCAGTGAGGAGGGGTTATGTTTCTTCTTCTCCTTGAAGAGTAACTTTGTGTGTATTGAGTTTTGCCAGGTGATAATGCAGTTGGTTATGGAGCATTTGGAAGCATATAGGCTACATTAACTGATGCTGAATCAATTACCTGGATTGTTTTAACAAGAGGATGCATTGATTTGATTAATTTATTTTAGTGTGAAATGTTAAAACACCCACAAGGTTGCTCTGCTGCTTTGCATCAGCTCTAGTTTTATCATATTAAACAGATTGTACCTGTTTTTTACACAGTTCTATGTAGTTTTACCTGTTGGAGGGCCGCAGAGTTGGGCACAGAAAAAAAAAAATAGACCAGCAGCATATAAAAGAGCCGCAGGGTGATGGCGCTGGTAAGCACTACCTCCATGGTCAGTGTAGCAGCTGCAGACGATTCTAATGGATGCACTCTGCTGCAGAATGTTGTGGCAGATGTGTTGCAACCCATCCGTGTCCCATGTATTTTGGCTGTAAGTGACTAATGGGAACAACAGGATTTGAAATTGGTCCAGTATTGAGCGAGAGCGCTGCAGCCAGCAGCTGTGAAACAGGCTGCAATGTAACCATGCAATTTACGTCCAATAAAAGTGCTTGTTTTTGCCACTGACAGGTTTAGATTTGTCTGAAGTGTCTGGCAACCTCATGGAAAGGATCCCTACAGAGACAGACCTTTTTCTTAAAGTGTAAGATCTGTTTATTTTAACCAGAAAGAGCTGCATAATCACTACGGCCAAACCTACCAGACTCCATTTGAATAAACAGTGATTTTAGCCTGTATAGAGACTGCATATGTTTGCATCTAGCTGCCAAATTAAATGTTCATTTCAACTGAATCAATGTAGATGATTGTTGTAGCAGAGGAAAGATGAACCAAGACAGCTTTTTTGAGTTTTATTTTATTTCTGTTAACGTAAGATAAAGTGTTTTTTAGAATTATAAAATCATCGTTTATTTAAATAGTCTGGTTGCTTTGGCGACAGCAATTTTGGGACTGTTTCTGGTAAGCGAAAAGGATCTCACTCTTTAACACAAAAAGTCTGCCTCTGCAGGGATTCTTGCCATAATGTTGTCAGACACTTGCAGCCTTGCAGTGGCAAAAACAAACACTTGAAGTGGACATAAACTTGTCAGTGCACAAATGCCCCAAGTGGTTATATTGCAGCTGGTTTTACTGCTGTTGGCTGCAGCACTATCGCTCAACACTGGACCAGTTTCAAAAATTGTTGCTCCCCTTAGTCACTTAGACACAAAAACATGGAAAATTGGGTTGAGGTTGAAGAGTAACAAGGTGACCCTTTAATTTACACAGCCATGGAGACCTGGGAACCTTTAACAAATTCATCTTTTCGTCAGTCTTTCATATATCATCTGTTTCTCCTCTCTCCAGCAGAGCAGAGATCAGGGCTTAAATGTGGAGCCCTCTGTCGCCGGCGGCCCTCGCAGCATGTACTCCTCCCTGAGCACTCTTGGCCGCAGCCAGTACCCTACCTTACCTTTAGGAGCCAGCACCTCCAACGGCATATGGATTCCTCAGTACCCAACGCTGGCTCGCAGCACCTCGGCCGGGGGCCAGTCTGACTCTGTCTTCCTGGATGGGCCTCCAGATGACCCCACGCTGCCCCCGGCCAGCCCCGGACGCTACAGCAAAGACCCCACATACTCCAACGGGAGCCAGGGCGACTTGGAGACAGATGGGCCAAATGGCTTCCATCATCCTCCTCTCCTTCATCACTCACTGCCCAGACGGACTCATGGGTATAATCATAATCATCCCTTGCCAGGTGAGTGGGAGATGCGTCCACTGTGGGCTTTAAAAAATAACATGAAGGGAAGAAAGTGTTTGATGTTTTCTTTCTTTCTTCATCTATTTAGAGTATGTCAACCAGGAGATTCAGGATCTCAGGCCGGGGATCCCAGACCGGCCCAGCACTTTGCCTCGTAAAGGCGCCAGAGTAGACCGGCGCCTCCCTAACGGCCTGAGCTCTGGTCACAGTGTGGAAAACCCGGGTTACTTGGTCCCCGTGGGTGCAGTGTCCGCCACCTCTCCAGCCTTTGATAACCCGTACTACCTGGACCTCGTAGCCAAAGCTAACGCTGTACCCGAGGTTGCAGACAGTCCTGAGATGAGAGACGGAGGAGTGCCCAAGCACGTGAATGGGTTTGTAACCCCCACGGCAGAGAATCCAGAGTATCTGGGACTAGCGGACACCTGGAGTGGATATACTTGAGGAGAGGGAGTAATGTGATGAACTCAAGAGGAGTCACAGCTTGCGTTCTACTGAGTGAGTCGAGGAGCGAGAGAAAGGGAAGATGAATAGTTGTGTGACAGAAACGAGCTGGGTGTATGATTGATTTTGGGATAAGTGCGTATATACGGAGCTGAATCTTCTCTCGATAAGCACCTGAATCCAAAGCGGTCGAGGTTTTCCAGCACCGCATCACCCAGTTGTGACACACCATGGCTCAACACAGTGTAGCATTAATCTGGTGTCTGTGGCATCATTTGTATTCCTGTCTTCCTCTCAGCAATCTGTGTGACTGTTAAGTGCCAAAAAAGAAGTTCACTCAGCCTTTGTATATAACTCTGTACTTGATAAACAGAGGAGTTCACGTTTGTCAACAACCTGTCATGGTACGAGAAGGGTCTCATCATCACAGGATCCAACATTTGATCGGTTTAATGAACGCTGAGGGTTTTTTTAATGTTCATTTAACATGTTTTAATGTCTGGTTGTTTCAACAACACGTGAAGTTTTTTTTTTTTTTTTTTTGTATTTCCCTCAGTTCCTTCTCGATATGCTCCTCAGCCCAGCTAAAAAAGTGTAAAAGCAAAAAACACTTTGACAAAGTGAGCCATGATATGCACTGAAGGTGGTGTTTAGTATTCTGGTCACTTTGTCTCTGACCTGATGGGGGTCTTCAACACACTCAAAGCCATTTTGTTTTGGCCGGAGAAGGCCCTGCAGCCCATCTGGCCAGTAAACATGCTCCCTGAAAGAAAGGCATCCTGTATGGAGAAGACAGAGGCATTGTGCCACACTGATGTATGTGGTTGTTAGTGTCTCGGCTGCAGCTACTTTGTGGTACGACAGAGGGGATACGAGGTACTAGGCAAGACTTTTTAAGCTGAAAAATCATGTTTTTGTCGTAGAGACAAAGTGTACTTGTCACCAAGTTAGAGCCGACTTTTCAGGGATTTATGATTTTGCATATAATTTGGGAAAAATATGCACATTTTGAATTATGCACCATGCACTACATGTTACTGCATACGTCCCCCATGCTTGTGTTATCACAATGAGCCTTTTGGTTTTGGTGGCCTTTCACTGTGTAAGAAAGCATTACAAGCTATAAGTGAGTATATTCCACAACAAGTGAAGAATTTGCATATATATATATATATATATATATAAACTTCTATATAAAGATGTTTGCTCCCCTTTATGGAACAAATAGCAGTTCTGCTGTTTGTGCAAAAGCGAGCACTCGACACTGGAGCTGAATGTGAATCTGAGGAGGCAAAAACTTCGCTCTGCTCGGGTTGGATAATCAATGCATGGCTCAAATTCCACTCAGCGAGAACACACTGGCATCCCAGTTAATAATCAACAGCCTTTTTTTTTTTTTTTTTTTTGTATTTCCCTCAGTTCCTTCTCGATATGCTCCTCAGCCCAGCTAAAAAAGTGTAAAAGCAAAAAACACTTTGACAAAGTGAGCCATGATATGCACTGAAGGTGGTGTTTAGTATTCTGGTCACTTTGTCTCTGACCTGATGGGGGTCTTCAACACACTCAAAGCCATTTTGTTTTGGCCGGAGAAGGCCCTGCAGCCCATCTGGCCAGTAAACATGCTCCCTGAAAGAAAGGCATCCTGTATGGAGAAGACAGAGGCATTGTGCCACACTGATGTATGTGGTTGTTAGTGTCTCGGCTGCAGCTACTTTGTGGTACGACAGAGGGGATACGAGGTACTAGGCAAGACTTTTTAAGCTGAAAAATCATGTTTTTGTCGTAGAGACAAAGTGTACTTGTCACCAAGTTAGAGCCGACTTTTCAGGGATTTATGATTTTGCATATAATTTGGGAAAAATATGCACATTTTGAATTATGCACCATGCACTACATGTTACTGCATACGTCCCCCATGCTTGTGTTATCACAATGAGCCTTTTGGTTTTGGTGGCCTTTCACTGTGTAAGAAAGCATTACAAGCTATAAGTGAGTATATTCCACAACAAGTGAAGAATTTGCATATATATATATATATATATATATATATATATA